AAAAAAAAAAAAACAAAAATAAAACGACAGTACAACACTCCGGGGGAATATATTTCAGCAGATCCCAAACCCTAAAAAGATTCAAAGAAGAAATTAAGATGGTAAAAGAACAATAATCACATATCGAAGCGAAAGGTCGAGGTTTGAAGAAGTGAAATAAGAATGAGAAGAAATTGACGAAGAAAAAAAATATGCGACGGTGGTACGCTCGAGCACGCGGTCCAATGTAGGGCCAGCGCAAGGAATGTAAATCCCCTTGTTTGAACCTGACCACTGATGCCGTCCTTGTTACCAACACTTTTTAGTTGCTTGACTTTTATATCTCACGAAACTCGAACATATTGGCCGAAAATGCAACACATTGGCGAGACTATGCAACATGAGAGATAAAATGACAGCATTTCTCTGGCATTTCTCATGCTCGTTTAGAAATTCTGTGCAATACCTGCATTACCTTGTCGAGGGAAAACGGCAGGGTTTTCAATCCGGGTGTTGCGCCGAGCTTGGACATCCCGAATCACCGGTTGAGGGGGGCTTCCATAAGGACCATCCCCATAAGCCCCGTACGGCGCATGCACTTCATTATAGTACGGGTTATCCTCATAAAACGGTGCCGTGGGATGAGAGGTTGACATGTGGCTCTCATCGGATGCTTCTGACCGATTGGCGGCAGAATAGGCGGAAGATGCGTTGGATGGCCCGCGACGAATGTCCGAGACACGGTTGTTGGCCGCGACGGGGGCCGCACCGAGGACACCAATGCTTTCGTCCTCACCGGATGCCGGTGGGCCCTGACCGTCAGAGTACTGAATGGTGCCATCACTCGGGGAGGTGGCATGGTGATAGCCTGGGACACTGCTGGCCTCGGACATAGCCAACCCAACACCGGCACCACTGGACAGATTGGTCGACGCCTTTCGGCCTGCCGAGGTAGTACCCCATCCACGGTATCCAGATACGTTGTCATTGTTGGGCTCGTAAGCACCGCCTGCTGCGACCGCCGGAAGCGTGGGGTCGTTGTTCGGGTTGAATCCGTACTCCTCCACCTCTTTCCGCCGCTCTTCCTCGGCGGCCTTTTTGCCTTTCCACTTGCGCCAGAACCACAGAGCAGCCAGAACGAGGATTGCGACCGATACGACGGGCACCACTACGGCGACCGCAATGGTACCACCAGCAGACAAGCCGGAATCATCATTGCTCGATGACTCGATGGCCGGCGAGCTGCCCGATGTCGAAGAAGAACCGTCTGCCGTGCTGCCGGCGGTTTGCGAGGGGGAGGCTTCGGTGGAGGTGATGATGACCGTGGCCGGACCGGTCGAGCCCCCACCGGTGGGGCTTTGGGTGACAATGGTCGTAACTACATCGGACGTCGATGATGTTGTTGACTCGTCGGACGACGTCGATGATGTGGTAGTCGGGGTTTCGGAGGTAGAAGTGGGTGTAGTAGACTCGGAGGTTGTCGTGGGAGTAGTACTGCTGGCATCTGGAGTACTGCTCGTCACTGCGTCAGACGTTGTGGAAGACTCGGACGATGTCGTCGACGTCTCTGTGGGAGTTGCTTCAGTGGAAGACGACGTGCTTGTGGGCGTGGGGGATGCTTCTGCAGAGGTTTCGGTTGACGATTCTGCAGGTGAAGCAGCAGCAGCATTATTGCTGGAGGCCGGTGCGGCAGCCGCTATAGAAGAGACGTGTTAGTCACAACACTGCCTGTTTCCTTGACTGGGAGAACCATACCAGAGGACGACATGATGAGATCGGATGAAAGAACCACGGGCGGTCGCGTAGTCGTCCGGGGGTTAGAATATGAGGTTCCGTATGGACGGGCGCAAAAACCCGCAACAACACAAATTCACCCGACCGAGGAGAAAAAAATCGATAGGATGGCTCAATAGATCGAACAAAGCCAGCAGATTTTCTAGTAGTCGGGATAATAATCGAACATGGGAGGAAAGAAATAGATTCCAACAAACGTTCGTCTCGGGGACACTTCGGAGGGAAACTGGTGAACGGCCAAAGGCAACAAAATAAGCTGACCGACACAGCAGACGGGGGAAAGAAAAGGAGGGGCTCGAATAAGCAGAGAATTAAACGAGATGCGAGTATATGTGATATTGTACAGAATAAGATATGCAGTAGTATACTATAGTATATGGCGCTCAGGGGTGCAGTGAACAAAAGAAGTGAGAAAGAAAAAGCGCCGATGGAAGACGCAGAGAAGGGGGAAAGACGTTTCTCTCGGCAAGTCAGCTCTCACCGATGATTTAACCGGGAGCCATATATGATAGAGAGAAAGTCAGATTAAACGGATTGGTCACTTGGGGGAGAAATGAGGGAAGAGAAGGGAAGAGAGAAAAAAGAGCGAAGAGGAGGAAAAGACCAAACGAAAGACTGTCAAAAACCCCAGGAAATCAGAGAAGAGGGAAAAAAAAAAAAAAAAAAAGAGAGAGAGAGGAAAAAGACGGATGGACGAAACCAGGCAGAGAGAAAGAGAGAGAGCCAGTGCGAGCGAGAGAGTAAGTAGGTTTAGCGCGACGTCTGTATGGTAATACGGGTGGAGGATGAGCCGTAATGTGTGGCCCAGGAGTCTCACAATAGCAGAGGAATTGAGAAATGCTACTACAAATACATATAGAGTAGATATAGAGTAAGTATAGTTGATTTTGTCGACTATCGACATTTACAATTGACTCTTGATTTGTGTTCATAGTACTAGTAGTAGTATGTATGTATATGTATGTCTAGTATGTAAGTAATCAGGAGATACAATACAATACAAACGGCTCCCCCTGACAATCCGCCCACTTAGTGCCAATAATATACGACTCGTTTCTCTGATTGGTTGAACCCGTCTTCTGGAAAACCTGGTTCTGTTTATGCACATTGATTTGACACAATTAGTAATCATGCATGTACAACTACGGAGTACATACCAGGTACAGGTACGGATCCGTACACTGCTATGGATTCTGTTTCTCCGGTCCATGGGTCTGTTCGGAACTTCCACGGCTCGGTCTCCAGTTCTAAGCATCATTGTCTCTGTTGACCCGCTGTCCGTTTGCGGCCGGATCTGAATTCGTTCCCATATCGAATTGTCCGATCCGGATCAAACGCACCGCATCCAGGGAAGAGCAATAATTGGGACGCCGGGCGATTGGCCCTAGAGCCCTCGCAGTACATCCATACATATTCACCCTGCTCTATATTTATCTTCACGTTTTCCCTTTCTACGCAGTGGGGAAGATGTGAAAATAGAATAAGTATAAAGAGAAAAAAAAAAAAAAGTTTGAATCATCTATATCTTGGCCGGAAGGGGAGTATAGAACTAATAATAATAATAATCTTGGCCGGAAGAGAGAAGTAACCAATGACACCGCCATTGGAGAGACAGCAACCCCATAACGCCACAGCATGGATAAAACGGAACAAGAATCAATGGAGGTCGATCCTGACAGCCAAACCAATGCCTTATTGACACAATGATGAAGGAAAGAATTGTAACAAGAAACAAAAGAGGGACAAAGACGAACATTGCGAAAGTTCCAGCCCTAGTGTGTATTTACGCCATTGACGTCAAAATGGCCCGAAATGGGGTAAGTTATAAATATGAGAAGATATAATCGCCAAAATATCAACCAAGAGAGTGGAATAAAAAAAAAAATAAAAATAAAAATAAATAAAACAAGTGACCGTTCGTTAAACATCCTGTTAGGACACCAAGAGAGAGAGGGAGGGGCCTTAAAATGTTGGAAGGATAAATTCATCACGTCAAGTATTGAAACCTAAATCGACGGGGAGATCACGTTCGCATGTCCCATTTCGGACGAAGCTCGCTGAACATATCGTCCTTGGTGCCCACCGTATCCGCAGGCAGACGACTGACCCGGTATGCACCATTCCGGATATTATGCAATTGTGTGTTGGACAGGCCGGTTCCGTTACTGCGGATGCTACCTGCATCGCTGGCAGTTTCCGCATTCTTGAACCGCGGCGGAGGTGCAAAGTCCAGGTTTGTGAAGGCCCCAGATTGGCGCAATGCATGCCTGAGACAAACGGTGTTAGCATGGGAAGGGAAATTAAAGGCAGCAAAGAACTTACGGGCTAGGCATGACCGAAAGCTCATCAAACGCAGAGGCCAACGGCGTGGCCGCTCGGGTCATGGGACTAAAAGGTCGTCTTCCTCCTAGCGGGGTTTCGGCACGGCCCTCTTTCTGGTCCTTGAAGCCATTGGCAGGCGCAAAGTCGATGGCGCTCATGATCGAGTCATCCTTCAACATATGAGGCGTGGGAAGAATGTTGAGCGGCGCCGGAGGTGGTGCGGGCCTGCGAGGTGCTCGGGGAGGACCAGGCATAGGCATGCGGTTGGAAGCCGATGACATCGCTCGTGGCCCGGGGTCTCCGAAGCCGCTACTGAAGCCGCTGAAGCCACTGACAGAGCCCGAAGGCATATGCCGTCCACTTGGCTGGAAGGGGGGAGGGGCACGGGGCGGCGGTGTCATAGCACGACGAGTCACCGGCTCAGCAAACGGTGCGGGTGGGGGGGCGTAGTACTCGTCATAAGTGGGATCATGGGCTATTTCGTCGGGATAACCATAAAATTCGGGCCCAAAATCTTCGTAGTATGTAGTCTCTCTCCCGGCCTTGCTGTCGTCAAAGTATTCCTTGTAAAAAGATCGGATTCGGCTGGCACGCTGTTCTGGATTGTCTGCTGGGTCCTCCGGAGGCAGGGGGCGCAGCCCGAACGTCATGCGCCGAGTGTCACGACGAGGGTCCAGACCAGGGTTCTTTGACTGGGGTTCTTCTGGAATGGGAGGAGGATTGATGGGGCTTGCATCATGATTTGATTCCTGGGTATCCTCGGCCCCAGAGATGTTCACAGCTGGGATGGACGCGGTGGTCTTCCTGTGATTGCTGTAATCGCTACCCGCATCACTTACCGGCAGTGAGATGCGTGGGGTTGGAACGGCAGGCGATTGCTCAAGGTGGACGGGTGCGGGTTCTTGAATGGGGGAGTCATGGTGGTGGTGGTGCAGAGAATCGTCGTCAGAAATCTCTGCCTCGTCCGGATGTTTGAACGGATCCGAGGGCAGGCTGTTCCGGTGGATCGCCGATGCCAGGTGGGAGTGGCTCTTCCTGATGTCGGCTGCAGTACCATCGCTACTGCTCGCCGCAGAGTGCCGTCCGTGATCGTCGAAGGGTCCCGGGCTGGGACTCGTGGACGGTGGGAAGTCGAAGTGCAAGCCAGCCTGGGAGGGGTCATTAAGCATCGACTTTTGGGCATTGTCGCGGCCATTGGCCGGTGGGGCAGCATTGCTGAGCATCGAAGGAGGAGCACGGGTAGGCGAGCGGACCGATGAGCCGTCTGCTGTCAAAATGGAAACTGCGTGGCGGTATCTGTCTTCCTCTCCTCCAACAGGTCTTGATAGAGAATTGAACGATTCTTGAGAGCCATGCAGCCCGGGTGGCATCAGATAAGGGTGTCCGACGTCCAACGATAGTCCCTTGGTGTGGTTAACCCGGGCACCCTTCTCCGCTTCTTGCATTGGCATTCCCTTGTACGGAGGATCGACGATGTCCAGACCGAAATCGAGTGACTTGTGTTTATCATTAGCATCTTCATTCCGGAGTCTCCTCACATTTCTCCGGTGCAAGTAGACCAAGATGACGATGGCACACACGACAGGGACACTGGATTCCTAAAATTAGCCGCACTTTTCGGTATCAGGCCAGACCGAGGCTCTACACGTACACAGCTCCCAAGACGACGGGTAATGTTGTAGTGGTCGTCGTACTCGTAGGCTTCTCACCCGAGGTACTTGATTCATCGGACCCTGAAGAGGGGACAGGAACGGGAACGGGTGCTCTTGGTGCAAGGGTCGGACCACTGGCAGACACCTCGGGCACCCCTAGAAGTGGGATGCGATCTTGCGGCACGGCATCCGGTCGACGGGGATAGATACGGGAATATCGCGCAGAATGCTGGTGGTGATGATGCATTGTCGTTCTATTAAGGGTCGAGGCGGAGGGATGGCAATGAATGAGAGGATGGCCAAGAATAGTTTATCCAAACACTCGCTAGCAACAATCGCTCTTTTGATGGATCATTGAAAAGGAAATTCAAGATGTTGGTTAAACTTCGAATCGATGGAACCAATCCACTATTAAGTAACGAGATATGCTGCGGGCCGAATTTTTTTTTTTTTTTTTTTTAAAAAAAAAAAAAAAAATGATGGGAAGCAATCAATGCTGGGGAGTTTTCCTCTTCTTTTCCTTATGGGGGTATTGATTAATGAATGAACGGGGATGGGAAAGCGCCCCCCTAAAGAACGGCAGCCAGCAGGCTGGAATTAAATAAGGAATGACTGTTTATATAAAAAATGAAAGGAAGGGAAAAGAAGAGAAACACGATGGGAAGTGGAGAGACAGAGAGGGAAGGGAAGAAGAAAGAAGGAAGGGAAGGGAAAAGGAAGAGAGAGAGGAGAGCGAGCGGTCTAGACGAACACACGTATTTTTGGATGAAAGCAGTAGTGGAATTGTATTGCGCCTGCGGTAAGGTACCGTAAGAAGATTATGCCCTAGAAGGATCCCAGAAACCCCTGAAATGAGGATAATTATAGCAATCAATCTAGATTGATATTATAGCCCATTCCCCTGACATTGTCGATATATTTTGCCATTGACTCTCCCTTCGTTTTCTTTTTATATAAATACCGTACCTTCGAACCAGACTATATGTATTGATGGATGTCAATTTCTTGTCCTTCTCCCTTTCTTCTGGTACGAAATAACCGTAGGTACGGTAACTTACCTGATACAGAGGTGTTCCTGAACCCGCTGTGCCAATTAGGATTGGGTGGTGAAGTGCCAAGACGGCTAGTGTCAGGAACCGTCTATCCTATAACCAATCAAGAAATCTATAAAAGTCTCCTGAAAAGAGGCACTGGGCTTGGCGCCCCACTAATCATGACATCCTTTCCGCTTTCGTCGGTAAGGGCGGGCCGATCCCGATCAGGAAGGACCATGTCTGACTTGATCATAGTAAAGATGATTATTTACAGAGTACTTGTACAGTACAGAATATGGATGGTGGCAATGGAGAACCATGACACTATATATTTCCGCACAGGTGCTGTGCCTAGGACTGGCGAAGGTGGCTGCGTTCATGGTTTCAGATGATCCTAATGTCAATGGAGTAACTTCGGGTTTCAAATCTAATCTGAGGTAAACAGCAGCATGTAGGTACATGAGTATAAAGTAATACTTTGATACTGCTACTGTTCGAGTCAGTTAATCAGGCCCGTTGGCTGAATATGACTCTTTACCTGTTGCGATTGTTTGTAACATCTTGAGTACCCCGTAGATTGATAGATACATATATGTTAGACATGGTGTCGAATATAAAATGGTATTCAATGATATTGGATATAACTGAATGAGTCGTTGTCACACTTACTATGCATGCACCTGTCACCGACACGAGTCGTTCCTGTGTGAATGACGTCAAGCCGTTGACTGTCAGCATCGCATGTACAAGTATGGAGTACAGTGCAGTAATGATAAGGTAGCTTATCTGCATACTGTATATGTACTCCGTATACTTTGTAAGGGTTGATTAGATTATTTGAGATCGAAGTACCGGCATTATTATCCTGGATATCCGATAATGGAATCGGGCATCTGTCCGAGGGCATCGCCGTTTTCAACCGCCTTCAAACGGAAACAACTGAGCTGCAATGATCTCAAAGATGGACAGCAAGAGAAAAAGAAGTGGTCTTGCACAATGTAAAGCTACATTGTGAAGTGTTCTTGATACTTTGTACTGTACAATATTTTGACAGCTTTCTTCCGGAGAACCCTGGGTGTTGTTGACCCATCGGAATGCTCTCCGAGTCTACTACATTACTATTGACCAACTACGGTCCATGCACTCATGCGCACTGGTTGTTTGAAGAGCAATTTTTTCCCCCTTCCTTCCCTTTAACACTGTCTTTTTTTTTTTTTTTTTTTCTCCCTTTTCATCTAGCTCTCTATCTGTGATTTGTCTTGTTTAGTTCACCCCCCTGTCTGTGATCCTCGTTCTTCCCCCTTCTTTTCTCTCCATTCTTCCCGGAATGGATCCGTTGTCACGGGACCTGGAGAAAGCCGAGATCGAAGCCTCCCTTCCGTCTCAGTATCTGAATCACCAACATGAGACTGCGCCTGCTCATCAATCTTCTGCTTCCATTGCATCCTCTGACTCGTCTACTTCTGACACCTCGTCTATTTCTTCTTCACGGTCCGGATTCCATGATGATGGTGACTACATATCCCGCATCCAGACTGCGCAGACCCAGCGCAGTACGGCCTTAGAGCGACATCCTACCGCCATCAGTCGCATTGCTACCCAGCGGAGCCAGCACAGTGCTACCGTGGGGGCTCTCAAGTCACGACCATCCAAGAAGTCCTTGCCGGAGTTTGGTGCCGGCAAACCATTTCCTCCACCGTTACCTTCAAAAGAAGAGTATGTGGTTGAATTCTCGGGCCCGGACGATCCTCTGCATCCTCAAAACTGGTCCACCAAAAAGAAGTAAGTAGCATCAGTAGCCATGCCGCAGTGTACATGAGAACTAATGCCAGAACGTAGAATCGCGACGGCCATTATGCTTGCATGGACAACATTCAACGCTACATTCACCAGTAGTATTTATTCAACAGCTAATTCCGTTGTATCAGCCAAGTTTGGCGTTTCAACCGAAGTGGGCACGCTGGCACTGTCCTTGTATGTCCTCGGGTTTGCTTGCGGCCCAACTCTGTTCTCTCCGTTGTCGGAATTGCAGGGCCGAAAGTTGCCTATCCTCATTGGCATGTTTGGTTTTACCGTCTTTCAATTTGCGGTTGCTACCGCGGAGAACCTGCAGACCGTCATCATATGTCGCTTCTTCGGTGGTTTCTTTGGCTCATGTCCTATCGCCGTCGTGGCAGCCGTGTTCTCGGACATCTTTGACAATCGACATCGAGGTCTTGCAATCACTGTCTTCACCATGACGGTGTTCACGGCACCTCTGTTCGCTCCTTTCATTGGTGGATTTATCGTGGAAAGCTACTTGGGCTGGCGTTGGACCGAGTACCTCACCGGCATCATGGGTGCATCTGCCTTTGTCTTGGACCTGCTTTTCTTGGAAGAGACCTATCCTCCAGTTGTCCTGATCAAAAAGGCCTCAGATCTGCGCCGGCGGACTAAGAATTGGGGTATTCATGCCAAACAGGAAGAGATCGAGGTCGACTTCCTGGAACTTATCCAAAAGAACTTTAGCCGGCCGGTTCGGATTTTATTCACGGAACCTATTTTGCTACTTTTGAGTATTTACATGGCCTTCCTCTACGGCCTCCTTTACCTGTTCATGACGGCATATCCGATTGTGTTCCAGCAGATCCATGGATTCAACAAAGGCGTTGGTGGTCTGACTTATTTTGGAATGATCATTGGCGAGTTCCTTGGTGGATTCTTTATCATCTTACTCCAACCATGGTATAACAAGAAGCTTGATTCCAACAACGGAATCCCCATTCCTGAATGGCGACTGCCTCCTGCTATCCTTGGAGGTGTTGCCTTTTCAGGTGGTCTTTTTTGGTTCGGCTGGTCTGGATACAAGGCTGATATTCATTGGGCAGTTCCTGCAGTATCTGGTCTTCTCACGGGTTTTGGCCTACTGTGTATCTTCCTACAGTGCATGAACTACATTGTCGATGCATATCTCGTATTGTACGTTCCAGATCCCTCATCAACCAAACCTGGAAAAGAAACGAATGCTAACTGCGACTCTAGTGCCGCTTCAGCTTTGGCTGCTAACAGTATCCTGAGATCCACGGCTGGTGCGGGATTTCCTCTTTTTGCAACTTACATGGTAAAAAACCCTCTCCCCGAACCATAGAAATCCGAATATATACTCACATCCAATGTAGTTCAACGGACTAGGAGTCAATTGGACCGGAACCCTCCTCGGCTGCGTCGCGGCCGTTTTAATGCCAATTCCTCTCTTATTTTACCTCTACGGCCACAAGATCCGAGCGAAGAGCACGTTCTCTACGGACTATGTTGCGGCTGCTCAAGCTCACAATGACGAACCGGCCGATTGAATCAAGTCGGCAATACTTTGACATTCTGACGCTGATCTAATCGCATATAGCGCATCTTGCTGTTTTTGTTGTCTTTTCTTTTCATTTACCTTACTTATCCTATGGCTCGAATACGTTTAATGTTTTCAAATACTCAGACTCCTGTTGGTTTACACTACAAAGGTTATTTATTATTTGGGTTGAGTTGGACATATTTGATACAAGATCTCATTATTTGCTTATTTACTTTAACACAATTAAAAACATATGAATGACAGTCAACACTTTTATTTCTACTCAGACCCTGTCTGTAATAATAATATAATAATACTCTAATGCACATGCATGCAGCAGGTTGACTTGACTTGTCAAACCTGACACCAAAAAATAAAAAAGCAAAGCAACAGCCCATGCACCTGTATCCAATTGCTTGCGATGAACAAAAATCACACAATGCCGCCCCAGAATTATCAAATATAGCACATGAAGAGTAAGAATAATGCAAGAAACAGAAGCAGAAAATCTAGCACATCACTGATGCTCGTACAAGTAAGAAGCACAGCCCCCCAAAACAGAAAAAAAAGTACACATTACAAGAAAGCCTCAAATCCCCTTCAAGGGGAAGGAGGGTGATGCAGTGGAACAAGCGATGCAGAAGTCGACTTGCACAAGGGATAGGTAGTAGATAATGCGAAAAAAAAAAAAAAAAAAAAAAAGACTCTTTTCGTCACAAAAAGGACGGATGCAAAGGAATAGAGGAATGATGGAGGAAGTAAATGATGCGATAAGATTCGCTGAGGAACCCAACGGGATCGGTTCGGAGGTTCAGGTGTCGAGGATGCAGAATTAGAGAATAAGGAATTTCGCGAATGATAGGGTATCAAAACGGATGTATCAAAAAAAAAATGACGGACGTGACAATTCAAAGTCCGCAAAAGGCATGATCCTCATCATTAGATGATCGGTCAAAGATCCGACTGAACGGCGGGTCCACGGGGACCATGCCCTTCTCCGGCGTAGTACTGACTCCCTCAGCCTTGCGAATCACTTCTTTCAAAGAGCGGGTGACCACCCCAGCACGGATGACAAGGTCGTGAAGAGACTGGGTGTCGAAGGGAAGCTTTTTAGGACGTGGAGTGTCGGTGTCATTGTATGCGGAGGCGCGTTGCTGATAGATCAGATCGAGCACGGACTTTGCCTTTGCAGAAGATGATTCCTCGCATGTCCGATCGCGAGACGTGTTATTATTATCATTATTGTTGTTGTTGTTGTTGTTGTTGTTGTTGTGGTGGTGGTGGTGGTGGTTGTTATTGTTATTAATATTACTGGAGATGGACACTCCTGAGATCGAGGCCGGCCATGACTCGCCACTCACGCGTCTCAAAAAGGTAGATTCTTCTTCCGAATCGTCGAAACTGAAAGTGAGTGATGACGGCGATCGCGGAGGAGACGGAGTGTTGTCGTCTTCATCGACGGTGGCCAGGTTCACAATACCATCTGCCTCTTTCCAAAGTTCACTTGATGGCCCGTGGACGAGATCTAGAGCACTAGCCTGATGTCGAAGACGTTTGAGCTCCTCGACCAACAAAGTCAGTTCTTGAACATGACCAAATTGTCCGTGGAGACTGGCTTGTCGGTCCATAATGGCTTTGGGAACGGCCATTCCGTGGCGTGCCGTATTCTGGCTTGGTTCCGCAATTTTCTCACCAAAGACATCGTCTTCCTCATCGTCATCGTCGAATTCAAAATCATTGTCCCAGTCCTCGCTGACAACTTTGCTGCCCAGGCCCCACGTCCCGAATTTGCCGGAGCTTTGACGTGATTCACTGGAGATCGATGGGTCTCGCGATACCGGAACACTTTGGCTTCGAAGATGGAGAGTGGTCGGTGCCTTTCGCACAGGAGCACGGCTTCCTCGACATTCAAGCGCCTGTTTTCCATGCACCGTTCGAGGACGGGATTCGGATCCAGACACCTCGCGATCACTTCTGGGTTTCTCAGACCAATCGAAGATATTTATCTTGGGTACGGATTCGAGAGTCTCTTTGCTCGAATTTCGGAACTCGTACGGGTTAGACGACACCCGTGCACCATTGTGATCTTCGAAGACGTCAAGGCCATCGAGTCCTGACAAGTCATACTCGTGTCTGGGCCACCGCGAGGCCCTCTGTTTCGGCAGGAAAAGTGGTCCATTCGGTTCGCCAGGGAGTGCGGCCACCATGCTGCGGTCGTCGTCATCATCGCTCAAGTCAGACAGGAGAGAGAGTCTGCTGCTCTCGCAGCCCCGGGTATCTGTTCTCTCTTGAGAGATAAACGACAGCGAACTGGGAACAGGCGCTTTGTCGATGGCGGGGGCAAATGGATCCGCGACGGACGACCGTGGAGCAAAGGTACCCCGAGGGATGAGATCTTCCAGTTTCGCGAGTCCGGGTGACCCCGCTGTTGGAGCATTGTCGAAAATGGTATCAACTCGGGGACGACGGGATGCCGCCTTGCTGCTCGTGGTTATATGGGTCCGTATCGAGTCGAACGCTCCATCGCTAAGAAAGTCCGTTTCGTCTTCATCACCCGACGTGAACACACGAGTGTCGTCGGAGCCGATAACGGTTGAAGCTGGATCGGAAGCTGCGACCGAATGTCGCCTCGGACGTTGGCGCGTTGTGTTGATAATGCTATTAGAATCGAACTGACGAGGGGAGCTACCACTTCTCAAAGCTGACCGAGCCACCGAATCTGACGTCGAAGGGCGAAGTGCTCTGTCCCGAAGGGAACCCATTGTAGGCCGGAAATCTCGAGGCACAGGCGGCGAGGGGAGGAAGTCTTGATGCCCCTCGATTCCCGCCGGGGCAGGATCCGTAATGTTCCGCGGACCATTGGGCAGGAACGACTCTGATATTGCTCTTTCCGATTTTGGCAATTGGGGCAGGGGTGTCGAAAGAGCCCTCTTTTTGCGGTACGTTAGGGAACCGCCGCGGGCACGTTGTTCAGCATTTGGTGGAGCTGCATTCTGGGCATCTCTCTTGGTACTTGCATCATCAAAGGAGACTGAGGGCCGACCGTCCTTCTCCTCTTCTGGCACATATGCTGTCTCTGGCCGCTCTGCGGAAGGACCGTCGACAGACTGGAAAGGATCTCGGAATTGGACCGGTGCCAAGGCGGGCGTCACAGGGGTCGCGGGGGTTACAGGACTCGCGGGGATCTCCTCGCTCAGGTTTTGTCTATTCTTTATAGAGGTCGCCCGGACGAGTACAGGAGCCGCGACTGTACCGGGAGGAATGATTCGACGGAGCCGTTGGTCCCTGGGTATTGGAGCTGTCGACAATTTACGAACCAGTCGTTCCGGCAATCCATCGAGAGTAGAATCCAGGTAAGGCCGCACTGCAGTGTCGTTGCTCACCGGTTCCGGAGCCTTGCTGGCTGTGGGTGACTGCACTGACGGCGCATTTGTAAACGAACCCGGCTCGAAGTTCAAGCTGTGCGTTGGCCTGTGTCGAGATTTCTCAAACCGCTGGTAACTTGTGGCAGGCCTGCGGAAGGTTGGTGAGGCGAGCGACGAACGGCCCGATGGCGAATGTGCATTATGGGACAGCTCCAACGCAGGTCGTTTCACCAATTTGTTTGGCGCTCTGCGCTGACTTTGGGTTCGGGAAAGCGCCGGACTGGCAGATCTATTGAAGGAGGGGGAAAGAGGACTGGGGCTGGTGACGCGGCTATCATTCTGATTTGGAACGATTGAGAGGCGCTTGAGCCAGGAGGAAGGCCGACGAACATGGGCACTCTGCGGTTCTTTTTCCGCGACGGGCGCAGTCGGGCGGGCGAGAGTCTGACTGCGTCGATGTTGTCTCACACCTGCAAACAAGGACAGTTTTCTTCGCGGAGTAAGATCCTCTTCCGTTGACTGTAGGCCATTAAGCGCGGCAGGTTTCTCCGCGTCGCGCGGTTCTGGGCGTGCGGGCGAGTCCGCGGGTGTTGTTCCAGATGGTGTTGAAGGTTCCGGGTAGACACCGGAAATGGGCGAATTGATCGCGTTTGTCTTCGCGACAGGCGGATCGGTTAAAGAAAGCGTCTTTTTTCGAAATCTTCCAAACTTGGAGGAGAGGGAGGGTGTTTGATCTACGCGACCGATAGCGAGGCCCGTCACAGCAACACCAATTGTGCTGAGAGCACAGAGCTAGATGAGACAGAAAGCGGTTGGTTAGCCGGAGACTTGCATTACATGCATGAGAAACATTTGCATAGAAAAACAGGTCGCAAGCGATACCGCGAACCATGGTAAACATGGCGAGGACCCATTCAATGAACCACGCGCAGAAGAACCATGGACCGGGAGACGGAAGAGCATATACATACAGTAGAAACATGCTCCATCCTCACGAGGGTGCTGAGAGCAGTGTCAGAGCACCAAACTCAGCTTCGCAGCTTCCAGGCAGTGACCAAACAAATGCCATCACTTGGACATTCTTTCCTTTGACTCCTTTTGCTCGAATAATATATAGGGACGTTCGTTTTCTTCTTTTTTTTTTTTTGTTTTTCTTTTTTTTTCGAGACGACGAAAGATGAAACAAATCCACGCGCCTGGGAAGCGCCCAGGGAGAGATCGTGTGGCTCTCGAAGGTTGTTTTTTTTTTGGGGGGGGGGGTTCGAGAGGAATGTTATGGCGGCGGGGAGCGCAGAGGATAAGATCGGGAAATAATAATAGTAACACAGCTAGTAGCACGAGAGAGAAAATAAGATTGAATAACAATAGAAGAGAAGAACAATGCTAGTTAGGAGAAGTGGTGTTAATAATCATCAGTGTGCTGTGCGTCCTGAAGTAGGACCGAACTGGATGACAGCAAGAGTGACAGCAGCAGCAGCAGCGACGGAGCAGAAGAAACGACGACGAAGATCGAGAAGACAAAGATATGAAACGGGAAACGACAAAGAATAAAGGAAGAAGAGTGAGATCGATCGTCAACACATTCCAGTATTAGCAGTAGTAGCCGTAGTAGTAGTACTAGCAGCAGCAGCAGCAGTAAGTAAAGAAAGTGTAAGCCGGGGATTGGCTGTGGAACTAGCTGCGAGGAGGAGGGATGCCGCAAGGAATTCTCGTTGGACGAGGGGGGAGGAGGAATTATTAGGATAATTCCTGATTATTATGACAGGTACTAATATATAATTAACTAACTATGCCTTGTTTGTTTATTGTATTCCTATCAAAGATCACAAGTGGAGTGATGGAGAGTCAGCCACAGAAACTATATTCAAGCGGTATGACTTGCTTTACGATGCTCTACCGATGCTACTAAGGCCAATGCTGCCATATCCCGGACAACGGATGCTTGTTTGCTTTCTTTCCTCTTTACTTTTTTTCTGGTAACTCGATATTGAGGCTACTCCTCTTCAGCCACCGATCGTTAGCCGTGATTCACCATAATAACTGCCAATTGAATCACATCCTCGTGGGAAGAAAGCGTTGGTGAGGTCTCAGCTCGGACACCACCCACCCGCAACACACACGAGCTATACTACAGGATATTTATGATCATTTTATTTATCAGTACCTCCTGGCGTATGTCCATGACAAAAAGCACTTATTAAATGGCAAATGCACAGAGGACGGACAGGGCACGACGACCGGGTAGGGACAGTTCGTCCCAGAAAGAGATGATCATCACCGCCACTGATTCAAAACAGACTAACCGGACTACGGAGTAGATACGGGGACACACTCCTATGACGCTCTTCGGATGGAGCTGTATTACTCCACTTCAAAAGGTATCGGCTGGTGGCGGCAGCAGCAGCTCTAAGCTCCGGAGTCGGCTCGCTCCCACTACCAGTAATGGAAGTTTCCTGTGCCGATAGATCGCGAGAGGTCTGGCGATCTCTTAGAGCAACACTAAAGAGTGAATCCAGCACGAGCGCGGAAAAGGACACACAACGAGCAAGAAAAAAAAAAAAAAAAAAAAAAATCCTTAGTTAGCCCCAGACCCAGTTTTTGCCTGAGGACGCCCCCCCCCCTCAAGAAGCTGACGACGGGTCGCCAGGAGCTGTAGAATGCGTGATTACGGACAACTCCGGAGTTTATCACAATTTTACGAGGCTCGATCGAGAACCGAATTTCTTTGGAACCAAATTCGATTCGCTCTACCGAGTAGATGCGAGCGAACTATCCACCACTGGCGTGTTAAGTTGTGGCAACCATCCTATTATCATGTGTAATGTGTGGCTCAAACAGCGAGCTTATTTGCTTCAAAACAAAGAGATGATCCTCTCTGATAGATCGAATTCGGCTCTGCGGAACGTGGTCTGCCGGTTTCTCGAAGGGCAATATTTCCGAACCCTCACGCCCACCCACCAGTACTAGTATCAGAGCTCAGAACTCGCTCCTTGTGTCGGTCTGGAAGAATGGAGAGAGAAAGAAATACATAATGATTTAATGATTGATCCCTTGGTTCGCATCGTGAATCTTCCCGGCCCAATGTCGGGAAAATTCTGGTACTCCGTACAGAGGAGCCACACAACCTTGATCGGCCGGTTCCAGGGAACACACACGATAATACAATTCCTCTTCTCATTATGTACAATTATTGCGAGAGAAAAGATATGCTGTCATTGTTGGGCCGAGACAGTGGGTCATTTTCTTTTTCTCTTGCACGAATAATCCACAACGCGGAGAACACGATGGACAGCTCTCGCCTACTTGTACGCCATGCAATGCACATGTATGATGTACGCCCGAATAACACACACGTATCCGTCGTATCGATAGAGTTGCAGAGGGATGCAAAAATGATTGTCCGCGTTTCAGTTCCGCGAAAGAAGTGTCCTTTACTCGACTACCGAGTGGTTGTACGGAGTACGGAATACTCGATCAGGTTATCCCTACATTTTAATTCTCCCATTCAGCCAGCCCTTACTCTGTACCTGCACCCAGGATCCCACCCGTTTAATTTCCTTATGCAGGGGACGGTCATTTCTAAGTCTATCACCTGTCAATTCACCAGAGATGAAAAGGAAGCACTGGACCGGACCGGATACTGAATATTGAACTGGAAACTCCTGCGTGACGGTTTACTGCGGTGACATCTTTTCTTACCCCTGCAGATTTGTGCTAACGGACAAATTGTCCCGACAACAACAACAACAACAACTGGCGCCCTTCCCGTCAATCTGTTGTCTCTTCCCTTTGGCGAATGTGATCCAACCACCATGGAGTAAGCGCCCTGCAATCACCAACATGGGGAAATTCAGACAGCGATCTTCTATAATTGTACATTGTTAGTGCTATTTTTTGCTGCCATCGTCGCACCATGAAAGGAAAAGCCCCTGTCGATAAATCCCTCCTCCCATCGGAGATCATTGAACAACTCAGCGGTGAAACAAAAGGAACAAAGACGATTTGCGCTACTCCTGGGGGGTGGTTTAATTGGAGTACACCTTACCTGTCCGGGTATGTGTTCTGTGCTCTATCCTATTTGTCCCTGAGACATCAAAAGGAGCCGGACTAGCGGAGTATGTAGTTTAGTCCCGGCATTGACACGATGGCAGCGACCGGCGTTGGTGAAATGTGAGAGGTCTGTTTCTCCTGTCAAAGGAGCATCTCCATATTACAAGTACGCTAGGCTGAACTATCACTTGGCTGAATTCGTAGATTGACATTGTTCGTCCATCGGTCCATCCCCCAATCAATCGGAGTACGAGGAAATAAGTCATGAAATGGAATGGTTGGCTCTCATCTCCCAACCTCTTCCTGCCCGGGAACGGGCCGTATATCATCGAGAGTGATTGACTTTGACAGCGGAGTACGCCGACATATCAAAATGAACACAATCACAGAGAATAGTTAATGTGCCTCTTTTTGCAGTTGTCATTCTGTTGGCCTTGGATGTCTTGATCGGTTAGGCGGTGGAATCCGGCAGAATAATGGACATTCGACTTCACTTTTGCTTAGCAAAACAACAAAATCTGAATTTCTAGTCAAATTCAACAGTAATTCTTGATTAGATAGTAGTATAATGAATATGGATGCTCTCTGAAATTGCTTGTTGTGTAATGTGTTCTGTCCTTGTGAACAACATGAATGCTTAGACAGCTCCGACTCCACAAACCGCCACCACGGTTTTTGCGGGCAAAACTTCTTTCGGATCACCACCAAGGGAAACAAACAAAAAAAAAAAAAAAAGGCAACTCTGCTCTACGAGTCCGTTTACATTAAAGCAGGTAGAGAGCGTTTTCCTTGAGTCGATCAAAGGAAATAAAGTAACCCGTGCGGCTCTGACTATTCTTTGAAGCAAAAGTTTTCCGGGGAAAATATTAGTTAAAATGGAGGCGGAACTCCAGACACAGATCCGCGGCCTGGATCGTGTAATCTCAGAGTACTCTGTGGTAAGTGTAGGACACTGCTAATAAGAATGGTTCCCCACTAACAATGTATACAGGGTTACTTGACACATGCGTCGAACGCATATGTTGAAGATGCCAACGCTCCATCGCCACTGGCAGAGGCAGCCAACTCGGTCACAGAGCTCCTCATCTCTGCCTCTGGAGACTTCTCAGACCAGAATGCAGAGGCCATCCGCAGCCTCGTCGAGAAGTTCATCACCGGCCTGAGCGCAACCGATGGCGTTGACCCGGAGAGGCGGCAGATGCCCTTCACGGCCAAGAAGCTCGACCAGGCCATCAACGTCGGATCCCAGAGAAACATGTCTTCTACCCTGGGTCTCACAGGTGGCAACGTCGACCTGGAGTCTGTTGGCAGAAAGGTCGAGTCCCGTGTGGACCGCAAGAAGCTCGAGAAGGCCGAGCGGAAGATCCGCGCCAAGCAGGAGAAGAAGCAGATGAAGACGGTGCAATACGAGTCGTCTCGTCTGCTCAACCAGCCCGACGACGCCATGTCGTACGAAGAGTTCTTCATGGCTGTCAACCCGCTCCAGCTCGGCGCCGACAACCAGTCCAAGAGCAAGGATATCAGGGTCGATGGTATCGATGTTGCAGTTGGCGGCCATCGTATCTTGACCGATGCTTCTCTTACTCTGGCGTATGGCCATCGCTACGGTCTTGTTGGTCAGAACGGTATCGGTAAGAGTACTCTCTTGCGTGGCCTGAGTCGTAGAGAAGTCGCCGTTCCGCACCACATTTCTATTCTCCATGTCGAACAAGAGGTATGTCATTAGTCACTACGAGTGAAAAGGCAAGAGTGGCATGCTGACAATGTCGTCTAGATTACTGGTGATGATACACCTGCCATTCAAGCAGTTTTGGACGCCGACGTCTGGCGGAAACACCTTCTCCAGGAGCAAGATGTTAGTTTCCTCTCATCTGTATGGTCTATTACGGGTTTATTGACCACAAGCAGAAAATCTCGAAAGAATTGTCAGCCATTGAGGCAGAACGATCGTCGATGGCAGATACATCCAAGGACGCAGCGCGTCTCGATCACGAAAGAGAAGGTCTCGATATCACCCTGACCGATATCCACTCCAAACTCTCAGAAATGGAATCCGACAAGGCAGAGTCTCGCGCAGCCAGTATCCTGGCAGGTCTTGGTTTCTCGCCTGTGCGACAGCAGTACGCTACCAGGACTTTCTCTGGTGGTTGGCGTATGAGATTGGCTCTGGCACGAGCTCTGTTCTGCGAGCCTGATTTGCTCTTGCTGGACGGTATGTTTTGCGCTCACCTACTACTTATATGGAAATTTAGACTGACTTGGCTCAGAACCGTCCAACATGTTGGATGTTCCATCCATTACTTTCTTGTCCAACTACCTTCAAGGATACCCTAGCACCGTTCTTGTGGTCTCTCACGACAGAGCATTCCTGAACGAAATTGCAACGGATATTGTGCATCAGCACTCGGAGAGATTAGACTACTACAAGGGCGCCAACTTCGAATCTTTCTACGCAACCAAGGAGGAGCGCAGGAAGAACGCGAAGCGCGAGTACGAGAAGCAGATGCTAGAAAGAGCCCACTTGCAAGGTTTGTCAATTTTCTACATATCGGACCTTTTTTCCATGCGCTGACTCGCTTCTTTAGCCTTCATCGACAAGTTCCGTTACAATGCTGCCAAGTCCTCTGAAGCGCAGTCCAGAATCAAGAAACTTGAAAAGATGCCTATCCTGGACGCCCCAGAGGCCGAGTACACCGTGCACTTCAAGTTCCCCGAAGTCGAGAAGCTCTCGCCACCTATTGTGCAAATGTCCGAAGTCGCATTCGGATACACGCCGGAAATGCCTCTCCTCAAGAATGTCGACCTCGATGTCCAGCTTGATTCCCGTATTGGTATCGTTGGACCGAACGGTGCTGGTAAAACTACGGTGCTGAAACTGCTTACTGGTCAACTTCAACCAACCAAGGGCCTCATCAGCCAGAACTCTAGGCTGCGGGTTGGCTTCTTCGCTCAGCACCATGTGGATGCCTTGGATCTCACCACCAGTGCAGTGAGTTTCATGGCGAAGACCTACCCAGGAAAGACGGATGAAGAATACAGAAGACACTTGGGAGCGTACGTTCTACTTTCCCCCCTAGAGTAAAATTGTGATTACTGACTGGAATTTGTTTAGTTTCGGTATCACCGGTATGACTGGTCTGCAGCGAATGGAGCTTCTGTCTGGAGGTCAGAAATCTCGTGTTGCATTCGCATGCCTGTCGTTGACCAACCCTCACATCTTGATTCTGGACGAACCTTCCAACCACCTGGATATCGAAGGTATGGACGCGCTATCGCAGGCGCTGCAGAACTTCGAAGGAGGTGTCGTGATGGTTTCCCACGATGTGACCATGTTGCAGAACGTCTGCCGTAGTCTCTGGGTTTGCGACAAGGGAACAGTACAGCAGTTCGATGGTAACGTCGATGCGTACAAGAAGATGATCAGTGCGCAGGCCAACGAGGCAGGTGTGGCAATTGCTCATTAAGAGTAGCATTATTATTTATGATTTCATGTTATGATAAGACATTAGGATTAGAAGTTCATATGTACCTATGCGAACTTGATTTTCTCGAACCACCTTGGCTTTCCCTCTTCCGGATACCACCGCTTCAGTGAGGGCGCTCAGGGCCTAGCTCAGTGAGCACCCACTGAGTACCCAGCGCAGTCCATGCTCAGTGATAAGTCACATGGGTGCTGAGCTAGTAGTAGAACCGTTATGCTTGATTCCAATTGTTGGCGCCGGTATCGGATCCATGGAAGGAGAACCAGCTGCGATCGCAACGAATAGCCTGCCTTGCGGCATCCAATCTTATTATATATATATATATATATTTACCGGAGACAACAATTCCATCCTTTACTCCCCCTTTGGCTTTTTGATCGGGTTGCCCTGCTCATCCACGAGTCCTTTCGCCCGCATCACCTTGATGGCATCATGGAGAGGATCCAGCGATGGCTCGGGTGCCCTGTGTGAGCCAAAATAGTTGTCGGCCCAGGTGAAGTATTGTCCATAGTTGACAGTGAAGTACATGTGGTGCAACGTGTGGTGCGCGGGGCTGTTGATGAACTTCTCCGTCCAATGGCCCGTAATCATGTCACCGTCGTGGATCAGGATGGTCCAGATCTGGACAGCCATGAAGAGGGCCATATACAGATATCTCTGCATTGGGCAAATGAAGACGAAGACGCTTTTGAGTGTTAGAATGAGAATAGATAACAGTGACAATGGACTGGGATACTCACTGGTATGGCAGGGACTGCACGTATCCATCAAGTGGGTGGAAAGCCAGCGCAGCCCATGGCGTGGGAACTATTATGTCGTCAGCATTGGCAACTGAGGTCGAGGTGGGAGGTTATGTGAGACTTACCGATCCATTTGTGATGTGGCTTGTGAATGTACTTGTACACACTGGGGTGATGCTCCAGGCGATGAATCCAGTAGATACCAATATCATTGAAAGCCATGTACAGGATTGACGAGATCAACATCCAGGGCCAGCCATAGTCGCTCACATTGGAGTAAAGCAAGCTTTTGCCACGGACCTCGGCCAGAAAAAAAGGCAGGGTCAGAATGTTGATAACCGGGACGGCGGACAGCGATGATTTGATCTCTTGGCGGACTTGATTCTGCAAGAAGCGAGGATGATACTCGAGTCGTCGGTCAAATATGAAGTAGTAGGACAGAGCGCTGAAAACGAGGTAGAGTGAAGTCGCGCCGAATTGAGTGATGGCGAGAAGCGATATGATTTGACGATAGATGTTGTCTCGCGGCCATAGAGATGTAGGCACCGTGTCGGCAGCCGAGAGAATGGGATCTGAGGAGTTGCTGACACCGGGATAAGGTAACGCCCAGGCATAGGCCTTATCCAGAATGAGAGGATCGAGAAGCTCCAGAGCTACATCCATCGCGTGTGGCGGATTGCGATTCAAGTGCGATGGCAGCAGAGATAATTGTCGGAGCTGGTTGCGCTGCTGAAGTTGAAGTCGCTGGGAGATGGGTGTATTGAAGAACGAAGGACGACGAAATTGAGGCGAGACCGACGCGGATTTGATGAAGAATGCATGGTTCGATATCGGATCAACCGGGGCAGCTCGACAGGGGCCACTTCAGGGGCACGGGAGCTTAACAAGGGTCAATTTAACACCCCGACACCAGAACGCGTCGTCGTACATAATAGTACTCCATACAAAAACATTAGTGCCATATCAACACAACGCTTTCAATTGCCCACTGCCTTTCGCTTTGGGCGACATCAACAATATATGATAGAGTACATATAAGTACTGTGCTCTGTACAAGGACAAGTAGTTGATACCGCACTTTACCGTATCGGGACTCGTGCCAAGCCTGGCCAACTGTTATGAGGCTGGAAATCGATTCCCGAAGCCTGACGGTGTTTACCCCGTATTTTCCCATATATTCCAGACGTTCTAGAAACGGGGATCTTACCGAACATCTAAACTCTCTCTCTCTCTCTCTCTCTCTCTCTCTCTCTCTCTCTGCGCCCTTCTATGCTACAGTAAAGCGCACCAGATGTATCGATAGACGAAAGTAGGACATTCATTCCCATTTGAACCAGCCATGAGCGACCACCAGTCCGGCCCAAATGCGCCTTTGCTCGCTTCTCAGCCCGAAACTGATCGTGACTACGATGGCCATGACTTGGACTATGAGCAGCAGCCCATCGACCTAGAGCCCGGATATTCAGGTGGCTGGTTTATCTGGACTCTGACGTTCTCTGCGGGTATCAGTGGACTTCTTTTTGGTTACGAGTATGTATAGTTCCGTTAGAGGGATGCAAGCAGAGAAGCTAATATGCTAGATCTAAAGCACAGGAGTCATTTCGTCCACACTCGTATCAGTCGGCTCCGATCTCTCCAACCGTGAGTTGACGACGGTCGATAAAAGCTTAATAACATCCTCTACGAGCCTGTTCGCCCTCATAGCAAGCCCTCTCGCTGGAATTTTGGCAGACAGACTCGGCCGGAAACGAGTGATTCTCGTTGCAGATGGGTTCTTCACTGTTGGTGCGGTGTTGCAGTCTATCACCAGCCAGGTATGGTGGATGATCGTGGGCCGCAGTATTGTTGGCTTGGCTGTTGGAAGCGCTAGTTTGGTGACACCTATGTATGTGTTTCAGGACATGGATTTTTGAGGAGACATTTTGCTAACTACGTATCGGTTGTTCTAGGTATATATCCGAACTGGCACCGTCTCATGCGCGAGGAAGACTGGTCACGATTCTGAGTCTGTTCATTACCGGTGGTCAGGTGGTGGCTTATATTGTTGGATGGCTATTCTCATCTGTCTCGGGCGGTTGGCGCTGGATCGTTGGCCTGGGAGCTGCACCGGCAATCCTGCAGTTTGTTATTCTCTTTTCATTGCCCGAAACTCCTCGCTGGCTAGTCCAAGCAGGACGGGGAACGGAAGCTATGAATGTCCTGACCCGGATTTACCAGGCTCATCTTGGTAACAATGGTCTCGCAAACCGCGTCCTGCGCGGTATCCAGCAAGAAGTTGCTGAAGAGGAAGAAGTGCTCAGCACCAACAAGCCCACAGACAGTAACATGCAGTGGGCCCATGACGTCTCGCAGCGTGCTCATGAGTTATTCCGGGTTGGCGGTAATCGAAGAGCATTGATTATAGCAGCCATGCTACAAGGACTACAGCAACTGTGCGGATTCAACAGTCTGATGTATTTTTCAGCAACTATTTTCTCCATGCTTTCGTTCTCTTCGCCGACGCTGACATCATTATCGGTTGCTATGACCAATTTTGTGTTCACGCTATTCGCATTTGCCTTTATCGACCGTATCGGCCGCCGCCGTATCCTCCTTTATTCGATCCCTGTGATGATTATATCCCTCATCGTATGTGCACTGAGCTTTTCGTCTTTCAAAATGTCCCCAATGTCGTCTGGACCCGGACCGGCGGTGCATGGGGAAGCAGACGACCCTAGTAAGACTAGCTCGTTCTTGCCGATCGCCATCCTCCTTTGTCTCACAGTCTACACCGCATCGTACGCCTTTGGACTCGGAAACGTTCCCTGGCAACAGTCGGAGCTCTTCCCCTTGAACGTCCGGTCGTTGGGATCCGCTCTTGCCACAGCAACAAATTGGGGGTCCAATTTCATCGTCGGTCTCACCTTCCTGCCGATGATGGAATGGCTCTCGCCTGGCTGGACTTTTGCAGCTTATGCAATTGTCTGCGCTGTGGGGTGGGTTGGTGTCTGGGCAATTTATCCTGAAATGAGCGGATTGAGTCTTGAAGAGGTTAAGGATCTTTTGGCTGATGGTTGGGGGGTGGGTAGAAGTTGAGTGGGATTTCCCTGCATAAAGTACATACATACAAGTAATATGCGCCTATCCGAATTGGATTTTCTGGAATACTCGTAACGTTCCATGTCAATGTCTAATGAGAATGCTCAGAGCCTTGTTTGAGTGCGCATATGGAGTACGGAGTACGGTTTAGTCCTCACTGCTCAGTTGTAGCATGGAAATGTGAGGACTCATTAGCACAACTACTCCAGAAAGGTCTAGAGAGCTCAAGGTGAATGTGCCTGAACTGATAAGTTCGAGATACAGCTAACACAATTAGCTTCCCTGGACTGTCGCCCCATATGGTCGGTGACTTTACTAGATCACCATTCCAAAGACGATCTTGTGTCAGTCTCGTGTATCAAAAGACTTCCTTGCTTTGACGATACCCTTTATTTACGCCAGAATTCCATGGACATGGGGCATAGTATCCATGTTGAGCATTCTGCAATTGTTGCGTATCATTCTGCAGAATCTGAACCGGCCTTGCATATTCAAATCCTTCGTTCCCTGGGTAGCCCTTATGACAGGGCATGGAAGATCCTGTGACAGGAGATGGACTGGAAACAGAACAATGGAATTGCACAGATGTCATTCAACGAGCTCAGGCTATGGTCAACGATGCCAAATTTCCTGATGCAGAGAGATGGAATGAGTCTTTGCAAGGCGGTTGTCCCTATTCATCCGTCACCATTTTCTTCTTTCAGCTTCATCACCTCAAGTCCCTTCGTCTGGATTACTCGTTTGTCTGGATTTCAAGGGGCCCGAATTTGACACTGAGACATGCCCTTTTTTTTTTGCTCCTTCAACTATCTAAGCATGGTAGATTATGGCGGCAATGTCCGGTGGTCAGAGTTTATCGAGTAGATTGGGGACATTTCTATGTCGACGGCGGTCTTTGTCCACCTGGCTTCGCAGCACAGAAGACCTACTCGGGCAGAGCGAACAACAACATAACCTCCACCAGCTACACACGCTTCTTCTTCTTCCTCGAACGACTACCGACGAAACAGAGATCCCGTCTCTTCTCTCTAGAGCCACCTCATTGAGAACTCTCCACCTGGGCATGGCTTATCGATGGCAATAAAGAGGCAGCTCTGGAAAACGGTCATTGATACTAGTAGGAGTAGTCTCAATCAGCAACCCTGCTGAAAACTGTCGCTTGCACTACTATACTACCCATACATGGAGGGATAATATTACTTTGATTTCACCGACCATTATCTAAGAGAAGAGTTCATTGGATTTCTGAAACCATTTTCCAGAATGTCCTCTGTTGAAGTACCCATCAATCTACTACTGGGCCTAGATCCTGAGGCAGCTGAGGATGTGAGAAGCCTTTGACCCGGCACATTGCAGGATTTGTTTTCACTGGGATGTCGAATCCGTGGCGCAGTCAGGATCAGCTCTTGGATATTGTTCGACACCTGCTGGATGATTGGAAACCTTGCACGCCACACATTAGACGCATAACTATACATTTGACTGACATATATAACAAAAAAGTGATAAGAAGCAGACTGTCTCCACAATATATCCTGCGCCGATTTATGTACCGGGTAGGAATAATAACACCTCGATTCATCTCTTGAAACCCGAATTAATCAGCTCAATTAGCACCATCCACAACACCCTTAGCAATATCATCACAGCACTCCAGATGCTCCCTCAGGTAAAAGTTCGATCCCGAAGTCTCCAGCGTCTGCCCATACACCTCCCCAGCGGAGACCTTCTTTCCCTTACTATCGACAATCTCGCTACCGTCCACGAGAAGAAGGGTAACTTCAACCATGAGCTCCATAGGACAGAATTGCTCTGGTTTGAAATAAGTATCCCAGAATTCGTCCGACACGAGACCGGTGCGCACGATTCCGGGACAGAGGGCGTTGACGCGGATTCCTTCTTCCCAGCAGCGCATGACGATGGAGCGCGTGAAACCGAGGACATCATCTACCAGTTTATTAGTATGAATTACTAGATATATGGGGGAGGGGAAGGGGTCGGGGTCGCACGTTTCGTCCCGCAATACACAGGGGTCATCTTGAACGGATACAAAGACCCACAGCTCCCAGTGATGACCAAACTCGCATCTTTCCCCTTATGAGGCGACAACCGGAAATAATGCGTAGCCAGATAACTGGTATAAATCACACCCTTGACATTAACATCGACAACCGTCAAATTCGGCTCCGGAGGGGGAGTATTCGCATCCGCCCCCTCGGCTTGCAGAATATTGCAGCTCTCAGTTGCAGCGGCATTGGCAAAGACAAAGTCCAAACGACCATGCTTGCCATGGATCTCGTGGAATGCCGACGCCAGCTCCTGGTACTGGCTGACGTTGGCTTTGTGGAAGTAAATGTCGGACTGGCCCTCGACGGCTTTGCGGCCGCGTTCTTCGTTTGAGCCGAGGATGTAGACTTGCCAATCAGGACGCTGGGAAAGAGCTATGGCCACAGCATGCCCTATTCCGCTGGCTGTATTTGGTTGTTAGTCTGGGTTGTTATGTGAATATGGGGACTTACTCCCGCCGGTGATGACGGCAATCTTTGTGTCTGCGGCTCCGCTCATGGTTTAGAGTATATAACAAAATATACAGTGAAGTGCTTTTTTAATTTTTTACTGACAATCCGAGAAACCGGACAAGCTTCTTTTTAAATCAGGGGATTTACCCACACCTCCACTACCCTCCCCACACTTCATCTTTATCTTCAGCTGAGTCCGCAAGCTTGCAAGGGAAACTATTACAACCGGGCAAATTAGAACAAAGAGGCAAGAACGAACCGGTGTGATGGCGAAGTAGATCGCAGAGCTGCATCAAAGAGCAGACCGCATAGTTCGTATACATTGGGCTGTTCCCAGGGGTTTCCTTGGCAATCAATCATGTACTGTATATGCATAATGAGCGTGCGTCTGTGGAGTATCTTGAGGCTTCTTCCGAATGGTGCCTTTTGATTTGGCCTTCCAAAGTTTCCCAATCAATCGCAGACGCATTATTAATACGGAGCGCGCTAACTAACGTATTTCCCTACCGAGTGGCGCACCCGACCGAGCGGCGCACCTCTGTATTCCATATAAAATGGCACTTTTCATAACCTTAATATCTCAGCCACCAATGGATATAGAGGCTTATTTGTAAGATAAAGGTATACATACACACACTAGAAGAGGGTATATTGCTTTCTAAAGATTTTGTAGCTTTTTGTAGCCATAGATGTTTGAATATTGAAAAATACAAAAAATACAGTGGTAATTTATATTACTTGGAGAAATATTTATCTGTAGAAGCTTTCTGCTCAGTTTATATAATTTCAGTACCATAATACTCTATATACTAAATTTTAGGCTCTGTAGATACTTTGCGGTTGAGATATTGAGGTTATAAAAAGCGCCATTTTATATGGAATACAGAGGTGCGCCGCTCGGTCGGGTGCGCCACTCGGTAGGGAAATACGTTATGTGGATCTAGTAGTATGTATGTACTATGTACTCCGTAGTGAACGAGTATACATCTACGGAGTAGTTTTCCGGTGTAAATGAATTGAATCAATGCCGATGCCATTGGGTTTATTCTTTCACTTTGAAGTACAGAGGCTGCGATAAAATGATGCCGTTTAGGGGAATACGCTCGACTTGTTCAAAACAATTGAGAAATGGTTTTGTAGCAAATAACAAACAGAAAAGAAAAAAGATTAATTACTCCTCAACATCCTTCACCTTCTCCCACTGTCCCTTGAGATTCTCCTTCCACAGGCTGACCTTGTTGTCTCCGCCACTGACCGCCAAAATGTTACCGCTAGGACTCCAGCTAACCCGCCACAGGACACTGTCGAACTCGAGTTGCTGGCTGGTCCATTGGCCGGGGTTCGATGCATCCGACGTCCAGATACGAACGGTCTTGTCTTGCGAGGCAGAGGCGATGTAGGACTTGGAGAGGATGCTGGGGGACCAGGCGACGTCACGGACCCAGTCGGTGTGGCCTTCCAACGTTTGAGTAGGGTTGTAAGTCTTAGTTTCGTGGCTAGTGACGGAGAAAAGTCAAAGTCAGTAAATGCCTCTATCAAGAGAGGTTGGGGGTATGCGCAACGTACTTGTAATCCCAGATCTTCAGAAGATTGTCACTTCCGCCAGTAACGAATCTCCTCTGTTGACCCGGGCCCGGGTTGGAGCTAATCAAGCTACCCGCAGATGCAGCAGGTGCCCAGCTAATGGAGTTGACTCCCATACCATGGGCATGGAAGATCTGATGAGTCCAGCTGTTATCACGGAACTCGAGAACACTGACGTGACCGTCCGACGACGCGCATGCAAGAAGACATCCGCTCTCATGGGGAGCCCATGAAACCATGTTCACGGACGCAGTGTGGAGGGAGAAATCAAAGACCTTTGTCCATGCGCTGCTGCCAACGGGGGAGGTGGTGTTTTGGTGCTGCTCACGCCAGATAAGCACCTTGCCATCGTAAGACGAAGAGGCCAGAATTGTGCCGAATTTCGGGTGCGCCTAGTAATTGCGAATGTTAGACGAGATGCGGATGATTGGATTGACTAGTTGACGACAGCACAAATCGTCGGGTTAGGCTTCCACGTACCCATGCGACACACCACACTGCGCCTTCATGTCTGTTCACCCATCAGCCATCAAGCCACGTATAAGCTCAGGAACCGGACGAGATTGGCACCCACCCTTTGAGGGTCTCAATGAGTCTATTTGTCTCACCCTCGATTTCAAATATCTTTATTGTCTTGTCCGACGAGCATGTCGCCAACCTGCGGCCGTAATAGTCCAATCCGGCGTCGTGCTGAATTCAAGGAAAGCGTTAGTTGGACCACGCACGAGAACATTATACAGCATTCATCGGGTAGGATGGGGGATCGGTAATTCTTTTATCACGTACAATCATATCATCGTGACCCGAATTTGAGATAACTTGAGCGGCGGCCTATAGTACCACCCCGCGTGGAGGTGTCAAGTCAGTTAAGGGGAATTCTGAGGGGGACTGCACAGAGAAAAAAAGGAAATAACTAACATACCATGGTGTCTAATTCGGCAGCTCTCAAGAGGTAATAAGGAGATATAAATAAGAAAGTATTTCAATCGAGTCTGGAGGATTGTGTTGGAACAGTCCGGGGATGGCCCAGTCAAGCAGCAGCAACAAAACAGCTGGTCCCTTTGGCGGTGGCAGAGCCGCACCCGATCTTATCTTATCGTTAATCGGCTTCTGTGCTTAGTTAGTCACCATCTTCGGTTAGTTAGTTAGTTAGTTATCCACGTGATGCCTACCTCGGCTCGGGCTTTGAACACGCCCACGCCTCCCCCACGCCTCCGAAGCTCATTTTACCGTCGCTGCTGTCCATTTCTCTTCTTTACTTGTATTTCTGTTCCCTTCGCTATTGCGCTCCTTGTTGTCGAACTAATCCTCTTCGCAAATCTTCCCTTCCTGTTGCAGTGCGATCTATACGCCCCGCATCGCCTTTCCCGTTTCTCCGCATAGTCCCGTCGCAGCTTCTCCTTAGTTTACCGGCATCATGAGTGATGCTCTTTGCGGACCGTCAAATGCGCTTCAGAATTTTCAGAAGCATGCGTCCGTTGACAGGACGCTTCAACAGGATAGGTTGATCTCGCGGCAACCGCAATCTCAAGTGAGTCTATCTAGGGGAGTTTTGATAATCACGGAACCTTGACTAAGATTCAACTACGTAGGGTTTCCGATCACAAAACGCAAACGAAGGATCCTTAGACCCTGAATTCGCTGCGTTTGAGTCCAACCTCGCAGGACCACCAGCGCCCGAACTACACCATGCAGGTCCCTTCGCCGCCCCTGTGCCCTATCATCCAATGCCCGGCCATATGGAAACTCCTCACTGGGCGTCAGACTTCCAACAGTTGCAGATCTCGGGACCTTCACATCCAATTCACCAGCAACCCGGTCCATCTACCGCTCCGATGGCACCGCAACAAGGATGGCAAAATGAATTTATGGCCCAGCAACAACCGCATCAACCTCAACAGCAGCAGGCTCCCGGCCCGCAGCACCACCAGTCCTACGGATACGGGTTTCAACCATCTTTTGCGCAAAACTATTCTCTGAATGGCGCCCAGATTAATACCTTCCAGCCTCAGGAGACAGTGGAGAGTCAGCAGCCACAAGCAAATACTTTCGATGAGTCGGCATTTGAGGCGGCGTTTGAACAAGCCAAAGCCAATATGGAACTGGAAGAGACCACTGCCGCACAGACACATACCGAAATTGTCAACGAACCCGCTCAATTCGACGCCACTGTTCAACCAGAGACCCATGAAGAAATCAGGATAGGGTCGGACACGATTGCCCCTAAAGAAGATACGCAAGAACGGTCAAATGATGCAGATGAGCTTGCCCGAACCGCGGGACAGTTGTTGCACAGCGTTAGCCACGAGACAAACGAGAAATTTCAACAAAGCAATTTCCTTGCCTTAATGCGTCGTATTCGGGACCGAGAGATTCAGATTGAGGGAGATGAATTTCGCGAAGTCAGTACTAATCCGTGATTTTCCTATTTCGGGTGGCGCGGTGTAGACGCGGTATATATTTATCTATCAATACTGGCTCTTGTCCCAGCTAATGAGTGTTCAGACTACGCAGTCCCTACATCCTGGAGGCAAATACTATCCGCAAGATAACAAGCAGCAACAGACACTAAGACCAGCAAGTCGGGATGAAAATACACACATTACTCCAAATAGTACCAGTGAGTTCGATTAGGCAGGAAATTCAAACATCTTGTCGTGAAACACAGCAACGCGCTCGTGCATCCACAACTGTCCTAACTCGGTGATGCTTCTCTTCAATCAGGACTGAAAATGCAGTACGATCCTACTACTACAGCCCAACCCCAACCCACGGCGCCTGCGGAGGGAGAGACGCGCAAAGACGACCTTCATACCGATTTCTTGGGTGGACGAGGGGATGACAACTCCCTCTACGAAGGGTGGAATCTCGGCGATCGCTGGGCTTAACTGATATGAGATTTGATACCCGACTTTCTAGCGTTCTTTTGAAAAGTGGCAAAATCTTTTTAGCATGCATATCTTGGATCGTTTGGATTATCAAAGCGGGCAAATTGGGAAAGTCAGCCGGCGACTTAATCATGTATTTCTTATTGGTGGCATCGCATCTTGATCTCCCTCATTTTGACAGCATTATTGGAAGAATTTCAATCAATTCAGGATAACCTTTTGAGGAAATATCATGTCATCATTCATAACTCGTGATGCGCCGTACTTGTGGTTAAAGTCACATGATCCTATTCAGGCTATTGACGGAGAAGAACAATATGAAGGCTCAATAGAAACAACAATCGGCGCACATTCTGCGGTTGGTGCTATTGAGAAGCCATCTGCTGGTCTGCTGAGCTGTTTGTCCCCTTTTATTGCTTTTTCTTGTTTACGGGCCAATGGCTGCGTGGGAATAAACCGGTCGGCTGGTACTTGGGTGGTCGTTTTAGGGTATTGTGCTATTGTTGGCGGTTATTGACGTTTCCCCTTGCTGTTTCTCAATGATTGAGGAAGTCTATTCATTTCTTATTGGATATAGTGTACTATTTATTGTCTGTCAAATGACTGCTCTGCATGATGGCCTTTGGATAGCTTATATATTGCAGGATGAACCACAGTTCTTGTACAGGTCTCTTTCCATATTCAGTCTTGTCTACTTTTCATTACTTCCTTTATAATAACCAATATCCACACCTAACACTGTGATACCGTACTTCCCTTGCTATAGTCCTCCATCTTGAATATGCTTCCTCCATCAGACTCCCTCCTCCACCACTATATCAAGCTTGGAGAAGTGACAGCCAACATGCAAAACCAAAAGCCTCTGACCTCCCCTCCTCCTCCATATACCACAAACCAGCAACAAAACTCAGTCCCTGAAGACATCTACCCCGACAATGAAATAGACACAAACATCGACGAAGACACCTGGGACAACACGACCCCAACTCCGATTACAATTAACATCGACGCATCTATCAGCGTGCGAGGCAATAGCAACACAATAATCATGACCTCCGGGTCTCCATCTGCACCAACACCATTGACAACATCCTCTCCGACATCAACATCTATGTTACAAGCAGCACAGAAACATCGACAGAATAGGATAACCGAAATGGCGACGTCGATTATCGCAGCGCTAAGAGAGTCACAAGATTTATCTTCCTCGGGGATAGATGGAAAAGGGCTGATTGAGATCAATATTAATACGGGAATGAAGGTTGAGGGGAGTAGGAATGTGATTTCCGTTGGGGCTGGTGGGGGTGCGTGTCGTATACTGCCTAGAGCAAAGAGGAACGGGCCAAGTCATAATGATGATGAGGATGAATCGAGTCTGAAGAGAAAGAGGCGGACTCAATCGGTAAGCTCTCATTTTGCTTTCATCACTTTGCTTTGTTTTATTTGTCTAACTTGAAGCTTGATATAACTAGGAGCCTGTGGAAAGTATGCCTAAGATGAAGAAAGAGTGCTCGCCATCGTTGCGCGCGAAGTGATCTGACATATCCGTTTTGCATACTACCTTGATACCACTACGCTGTCTCATCTTCAAAAGGATGAGAAGGCTACGATGGCGCCCTTTGACCCAGAGTCCACTATCCGTGGCGACTTGATATATTGATACCAGAAAGCTGCGGTTCTTTGATCGATACCACATTGTCATTTTCTAGTTTGGAATGTATCTACCTGGACGTTTCTTTACACTAAATTAGTAGAATTGCATTAACATGTCAATATCAACAAGTAACAACATGCTATGTTATGCATCTACTTTCCCTGGACAGGCCAATTTTTATTAGCAATTCATGAACCAATGGCCCTAAATAATGTTCTCATACTACTGTAGTATTTCGCTATCCATTGGTGACAGAGTATGGGGTATGAAGTATATGGAAATTGCGGAACTGTGAATAAAAGCCCTTTTTTCACTGCAGGTACAGCAGTGTGTGTACACATAGCGCATTTAAGGTGGGTGTCAACCATCAAAGTGGCCACTGGAGGTGAATGAAATTCGATAAGCTGTGTGCCAAACCCAACATTCACCCATCTTCTGTTCCTTTCGCTGTACGTATAGACTACAGTGTAGCTTAAATGACACTACAGAGCTGCATGATTCAAGGTTACTTTGGTGCCTAGCGGAGGTTGAAGACAACTCAAAATGTAAAATGTATTTCATGTGCTGGCAAAATATTCTATACCGAATCTAGACTTAGATGAAATATAGATGAGAAGGAAAAACTCCGTTTGCTGCATATATTTGCAGTAGCGGCAGCTCCTCGGAATAAAGGAGGTGCAGCACTAGATACAAGTGGCAATGTTGTCCAGGTTCTGATAGATGCCTTCTCGAAGATATGAACCCATCCGAAACTATCTCGCGAGTGGGCAGACCCTTGGGAATTCGTTCCAAATAATGCAAGAAGACGCAAGGTTGAGGAAAGATGCCATTTGACAAAACACAGTTACTGCTTGGGAAGAATCAAAATTTTTCTTTTTTCAATATCTAGTACATTGGTAAAGACAGCAAACGTAATTCTCAATTCATTCTGGGTTCGACAGAAAACGCCCAATAAGCAATAAGCGAAGTGATAGGAAAGCGAGACGGAGAGGTGAGACAGGTACGATGTTAATGAAGATTGTACAACCCTTTTCACGGCACATAGACCAAATTCTTCACCCGATTAATCGCCTGTCTGTCCAAAGCCTCATGCAACTTCTCCTCGAGCTTGTCAAATGGAAAGGCAAACGTTTTGTTGCATATATTTAACCCACCGTCTTTGGTAAGGGAAGGGTTGCGCATAGTCTTCATCGCAGAGGTAAACGTGCCAGGGGATCTCTCGATGCCAATCCACATTTGAACGTCCAGATCGGGTGAGGGGGTGGGTGCTTTCGCTCACAAGACCATATGTACAGCTCGATCGGAAGCTTTCCCACGATGGCAACGCCCTGGCTTTTATGGTAATCGATAACTGACGCCACAAGAGTTCTGTGCATGCATTTCTCTGTAATCTCTGCCTTACTGAGGCCCCAGGGACGCTTGAGGAGGGTGCCTCGGCCCGTCTTCGTGATGTTGAGAAGGACGGCATTCACGAACCCTGCACTCAGGTACTCATCGGCGGCATTAAAAAGAGATTTTAGTGATTCGCCAAAGCCAACCTCAAAAGCGATTTCGATGTCGTCTGTAGAGGTGACAAGAGATGCGTCAGGCAACTTGACGCTTCCTGTGTCTGGGAGTACTGTCACTGCTTGGCCGTTAGAAGGTATGCCTCTTCAGTCTTAATAGGAAGCACCTACCGTCCTCGGTTGTTCCAGAGAGTTTGAGTGACGATGAGGATGCTTCCGGTGCAATTTGCTCAAACCAGGCGAAAAAGACATTTGAACAAGCAGAGTGGAGAATTGTCTTGCCGGGCTTAGCGCAGACGACCCCAGTACGGGCATCAAATTCGAGGGCCAAGTCCACACCGGAGTGAGTGTCGGTCCAGGCATAAAATCTGGGCAGGTCCACTGAAGTATTGGTTAGAACTGTCAACCAGAGCTGTGGGCAATTGTGGGCTTACCTTAATACCGATTAACCTGACCCCGTTATTGTTCTTGCTACCGCGTGCATTGGGCATTTGTATTGTCTAGGAGCATGTCGAGACTCGTGATGTATGCAAGAGCTTTTCCCGAAGTCCGTTCCCGTTCCATCTTAGCCTTCGATCGTGGTGGTTGGCTTTTTCGATGTTAACGAATTCTCAAAAGCAGCCCTATCAGCGGCCGATCTCGACTTCAAAGCACGGTTATTCTAGTCATATGGTAGTAGTCAACTCTGTGGTAGTGGGCGCAGCGATTCTAACGGGCACCCACGTTCCGTAGGGTGCACTCGGAAAACCAACTAAGTGGTCAGCACCAGCCTTCTAAGTTCAAAACCCTAGTGAGTCATGAAAAAGAAAATAGATACGATCGATGACTGCATGAGGGTTTGAAAGAAGAAGAAAGACGAGGAAGAAAGAAGAGGATTTCGGGCTCTATTTAAGAGCTCGTTCTCCTTAGGTGGGAACGAGTCCCCGCCAGCCCTATTGGGAAGGCACCAGGAAAGAAGACATAAAGATACACTTACCAGGGGTATACAGATTTTGCCATTAAAATAGCAACTGGAGCAAGATTCCCATTCTCAACAGTGACCATAGAAGGTTCAAGGACTCTTGTCTTCCTCGTCTGGCTGCAATTCCCAACCATAAAACATGCCATGTCGTCTTAGACCAAAAAGCATTAATGGAGCTTGGTTTGAACTTCAATCAACCGACAGCCAGACACATCCATTATTATGCTTGTATTCTTCCACTCTCATCACTTTACCTTGGACGCGTCTATCATATCTAATATTGGATCTCCCTAGCCATGCTAGTCAGTGCCAATCAAAACCAAACACTGGGTACTTACTGCATACATGTGTTTATTTGCTTTCTTGTGACCTTGCTTTTACTACCCATGTAATACGCCTGGTAGCACCATCGTTTCGATGGGTTGCGCTTTGATGGGCGGGCCCGTACGCTTCGCTTCAATTCTAAGCTCGGAGGGACAAGAATATATGACCTATGGTCTAGTTGGTTATCCAGGTCGTCTATGCTGCAATGAGAACCTTTGATAGTGAAGAGGAGTGAAAGTCCAGGTTGCTCCCCTGACCCAGGTTGGTTGAACTATGTTCGTAGGAAATGTAAAGAGATGGGCTGATATCTCTATCAAATGAATGAAGACAATTGATGTTGACTGCCAAAGAGAAATTTCTATTCTAAAAAATAGAATAATAAACGCACTCTTCCCATACAAGAACAACAAAGGTGAGAAAAAGAATAACAGATGCCCGCCGATACAAAGACAATCATCCGTAATTTTATAATGTCAAGTAAGATATCTGAATTCATAATAAATTTGAGTAAAAAAGAAGCAAGAGGTCTGCAGCCAGGTGCACGAGGAAACCAACATAGACATTCATCCTCCCAACTCTTCCAAGATATGAGATGTAATGCTGTAACAAGATACGGGAGAAAAAAAGAAGAGAAAACCGTTAAATGCGCCAATCCTGTCTGTTAGGGGCTCATTAGGGAGATAGAAGAAAAAAAAGGTCATGGCTACATTCAAAGAGATATGGTTGGTAATGATAATGGTGACAAGGTAGAGGGATTTGCAAAGGTAACGGGCGAGCGTTAGGGCATCGTATGCCAATGCCAGCACATTTTGCTGCTCGAGTTTGGTGCACGTAGCTGACTCGCGCCGCTGCAGTGCTTTCGAGGGTGTTCTATTAGCTAGCAAAGAGCCGGGGTGGCCTCTACCGACCAACGGGGATGTCGTGGCGATGAAGGTCTTTCGACCATTCGGGAACGACCTTGTCGCGTTCGTACAAAAGACCACAATTGTGGCACAGGTTCTGGACTTAGTTAGCCGAGAAGAACTTATGCCGGAGAAAGTAGGGGGTTGCTTACCCTTGAGCCTGCGGGACCATCTCGTACGGCCCAAACAGCGGTACCCCATACCATGCAGTTGCTGCACCGCCAATTTTGTCGCTCCCTGCATGAAGTAAAGATGGTTAGCAGTCAATACAACGGTGATTGCATCTTCACAGGTCACTAACCAGTCGGATAATGTACCACCACCTCCACCATAACCAGCTCCCGAGCCTGTATCGGGAGTGCCTCGCCCACCAGGTGTACCAGGTCTTCCAGAAGGACTGAGACTGCGGAATCGCTTCTTGCGTTTATTCCGCTCGCCCCGACCCAGAGGTGTCTCGCCGTCCACATCGAAATAGCCACTGCCTTGCCGTGACGCATCAGGCGTGATACCTGCGGTGGAGGAGAACCGAGCTGTCTCTCGTCGGAGACGTCGGATTTGTCGTTCGCGATCACCTTCTCTCCGTTCAATTTCCTCCTTGGACAGTGTTTCGACCTTGGGTTCCCATTCATCACCAAGGCCTTCGGGGTCATATCGCCAGCCAGCCTCTGCGCCGTTAGCGGCTTGGTTATCGATCTCGTTGCCGTAGCCGCTGATGAGACCACCGCTTTCGCAGACTTCTTTCTTTAACTTGAGGACGGCTTCGTAGATGCCATGTGCGATTGCGCCAACCCATTCGCCGTTTAGGCCCAAATCAGCGCAAGTAACTTTGGCGAAGTCATCTGCCATTCCAGGAGGGTGGAGGAGAGACCACTCGAACTTGTCCGTATATAGTTTGTTCTGCAAGTTGATATTTAGGTTGATCATACAACGGTATGCATCATCTGGATTCAAGATACTGTCGTTGACCAACGGCTCTTTTGTTGCTGTGATCTCTGGCGTCGCTGGAAGGTTTGTTGGTGCCGGCGTTGTAGACACATCGCGCGACTGGCCGATTTGTGGAGCGGGAGGCTGAATCTGTGTACTTTGGAATAAAGGATGTAGTGCAACACCGGCATACTCCTCTAATTGTTGCCGTATTTGGTTGCTGATAGCCAGCGTCATGCCTTGCGGATTGGGTAGGTCGAGATCGCGCACAAAGCCGACTGCAAATTCTTCGGGTGTCGCAAGGGCTTCATGGAGGTTCCAGAGGAAGGTATCTTTGATCCGAAACGCGGGCAATGGGTCTGGTCGTCTATACCCGGGCAGTGTCGGGTTGATTGCAGAGTCCACGATGCCTCGTGGTAAAGGAAACGGTTCCAAGGGCTGATGCGCGGGGACTTCGAGGTCAATTCGAATCGGAATGAGCGTGAGAGGTAGTTGCGCCTGGATTTGTAGCTGATCTGCGCAGCTATCAAACTGTCAGCATGAGAAGAATACGGCGCGACAGCAAGAACAAAACAAA